TGGAGTTTATATAGGAGCTTGATTCTTTCCTTTCATTCACCAGTTTTCAAAGTAAAGAATTGATGTCTATCTTTTTAAAATGTCATTATAATCAAATATATTTAAACATATCTGGTGGGTTTCTTTTCTTTCTTTCTTTCTTTCTTTCTTTCTTTCTTTCTTTCTTTCTTTCTTTCTTAGAGAGAAAGAGCTCAAGCGGAGGGTACAGGAGGAGGTAGAGAGGGAGAGAGAGAATCTTAAGCAGGCTCCATGCCCAGCGCAGAGCCTGATACGGGTCTCGATCTCAACCCTGATATCATGACCTGAGCTGAAATCAAGAGTCAGATGCTTAACCGACAGAACCACCCAAGCATCCCTATTAGTGGATTTCAATCAATTGCAGTTATAATCCTTTAGGAAGCTAGAATTGTTCCATTTGGGGTCTTTGGGAGTCTCTTTAGTTTGGCTTCTGGAATCTTTCTGAATAATTAGTAGTTGTACATAGTGTCCTTTCTATGTAGTATAAGATGTTCCATACTTACCTTAAATATTTCCTGGCTGAAGCCTGGAATCTAATGGTAAGCTGGTGCTAGGTTGCTCATTGCTCAGGATTGCATTCCTAGCTTGCCCTCCTTCCTAGGCTTTCTCAGTGGACAGAGCTAGGGACACCCACAATCCTGATTCTGTGTGTATGTGTGTGTGTGTGTGTGTGTGCACGCGTCTTGGGGATGCCTTGTCACTTAGTTTTGTTTGTGAGTATTGTCTGTAGGTTTTTAGTTTGGCCATCTTGTTGTTCTGGTTTTTTTATGTGCAGATTTGGAAAGATTAAAATATCTTGCCACCTCCACTGCCATCTTCCAAGAAAGTTTATGATTGGCACCATTTTTTGAAATTTAGCGTCAGCGGTTGATGTCCATCAAGAGCTAGTTTGCATTACAGTCAATCGACGTTCCTCAGTACCCAGCCAATTGGAGCCAGGAGAATTGCTCGGTTAGACTCCTTATATATTGCATATAGAAATTTTGAGATCGAATTATCTTTTAGAAAATAGACTTTTGCTCACTTCTCTGTATTTCCCATCATGTTGTACTTCCTTCCTCAGTGATCCTAGAGTCCCATCAGCTCACCCCTTATTATCCCTATTCATGTAGGCAATTTACAAACACTAAAGAAATCAATACTTGGGTTCCTCTGAGCATTGGTTTATATTATATACTAGACTTGACTCTGAATATGCTTTGTCTATTTTTAATATTCAGTTCCACCCTCAAAATAAGATTTGGCACCATTGAGAAAGTATTGCCAAGAGGGAGCTGCAAGTCCTAACGGCAGTTCCCAAATCCGATTTGGGTGTTCTGGAACAGCTATGCCCATATATGCCCACAATAGTTAAAAATTTTTACCATGGAGAAAGGCATTTTTTTTTCAGGTAAACTACAAAAATTCTGCGTCTCACCAGATTTGCAACTGTAGGTATGAGGATATTTAGCTTTCTTCCCAAAGTAAATGATCTTAACTAGACAATGTTCCTTTAGGATCCCACTTCACAGAATAAAATATTGGAATTTAATGAAGGGGTTCTATTTTATTATTAAGTGTTGAAATGTAATATGTGGGTGACAATACATGCTTCCCGTGAACACTGGTTATCTTTTGAAATCTGAATTCTTTTAGAATAGCAGTCTGGTTTTTAGTTCACAACCCTGGCTTGACCGTAGAAGCACCTAGATTTTTAAAAATATGGATGATACCTAGGATCTAGCTAAAATTTTCTGATTGATAGGTCTGGGCTTGGGCCCAAACATCTTTGTTTTTAACCATTCACCCAGTGTTTTTAATGTATAGGCTTACTGTGTCTACTTAGTTCATAAGCCTATGAGTCACATGATTAAGTTTCACTGGTTTTCATTAGCACAAATACTGGGACCATTTCCTTTAAAACACAAAGTTAAAAAGAAACCAGCTCCAATAACCAAAGCTAAATAATTACATAAATTAATGCCAGTTCTAGTGAGCCTAGCATAAATGTATACATAGAGACCAAAGAGCCAAACAGCGATTAAAGCCACAGAGCCAGAACTTGAACTAGGATCCCTAATGGAGATTAATATTTTCTTCAGCAGTCTGCCAGCTGAATCATGGTCTAATTAAATAGTTCAGATTTAGTGAGTTTGCATTTAAAGTATTAGCAGATCCGAGAATGGGTAAAGCTAAAATGAGTTAGAATCTTTTCTGTAAATGGGAAGTTAAATTATCATAGTAATTTGATTAAATCATTTTTAACTCTCTCAAGCTAAATCACAGCCTTTAAAGAATAGTTTGAAGTCTTAATTGCTGTTTGTGAGCGTATCTCTCTGCTATTTGTTCTCGCCTCATTTCCTGTGACATCCTATAATATATCTCCTGCCGGGCCGGAGTAGTGGGGAAGGCAAGGCTTGGAGTTGGGGCTGAGGTGGCTCAGCAGCTCACTTCAAGCGTTTAAAGATCCGCATAGAGAGGAGGGACATTTATTCTGTATCATTCCAGTATTTAGAACCAGGACCAAAGGACAGGAGTTGTAGACAGATTTGGAAAAAATCTGAAGAAGACATTTGTAAGGATTAGTTCTGTCCCTTGTGAAATAGAATGCTCTACATACATCTGGAAATGTCTTCCTTAGGAATGTAGAGAAGTTTTTTTTTTTTAAGATTTTATTTGTATGTATTTATTTGATAGAGAAAGAGCGATCACAGGTAGGTAGGGAGGCAGGCAGAGAGAGAGGGGGAAGCAGCTCCCCGCTGAGCAGAGAGCCCGATGCGGGGCTCGATCCCAGGACCCTGAGATCATGACCTGAGCTGAAGGCAGAGGCTTTAACCCACTGAGTCACCCAGAAGCCCCAGAAATGTAGAGCAGATCCTTGATGATGATCGAAGGTTGAATAAGATGGACTCAGAAGATCATTTTAGCTTTCTTGGGGGGAAAGCAAGGTAAATGCCACTTGCAGTGGTATGCATTCTAGCAGCATATTTTGATACAAAGAAACCCGAGTTAGGCCCAACTCTGACCCTCCCGGTGCCACGTGACTTACAGCAGCTGGGAGAAGAGAGGGGAGACAGTGTTCAGAAAGTGCTTATCACAAAGAAATAGAAGCCTCACCCCAAACAGGTACTTAATATGTGGTTTATTTATTATATTTATTTTGCTTCTTTTGGTGGGGGGGTTCTGGTGGGAAGATAGTTATTTTGTTTTAATATTGTTTGTAAAGATGCAATTCTCTTCTCCCCATCCATTTGTTCCCATTTTCACTTTGAGTGCTTTGAGTCCCAGGTCAAATTGGGTAAGTCCACCTTATCTCCCTTCCCTCATGTACAAAGTCAGTTTTTTGTGTCCTGGGACGCTCACCATTCGTGTGAGTCCAGGCCCACCATTTTCCCTTCAGATAGCATTTCAGAAGAAAAATAGAAAAAAAAAAAAATTCAGTGCACATTGTGATTTCCATGACAGTGTTTCCCTCACTCACATTGCCCTCTGATAGACATCTTTGGAAATGATGCGTGCTTGTTGCTGTGAGAAGACACATAGGGAGTGGATGGGATTGTAATGCTGAAAGGGGCCAGAGTGGAGAGAAGCCTGGATAGGATCAATCCATAGGGACAGGCTAGCTTGTGTGTTGAGAAATGTTCTGAGTTCCACACCAGGGACACTATCAACCTTAACAACCTGGAAGAACTCCTCCTCTCAGTTCAACTAGCAGGAGTTGAGTCTTGAGTGGTAAAAGCTCCCAAGCCACTGTATTTCTCTTTTCAAGAAACGTGTCATTAACCCTCTCATGTAAACAGTGGTCAGTTTATTAACGATGTGGTGAAACGATTTCAAAATAACAATGTAAGAGAAAAAAACAACAAAATACAAACAAGTTTTTAAATATGGTCCTGATTATAGCTGTTGGCCTTTTTAATTACATCGCCGTGATTTTTTTTATCATGTTTCGTCACCTGATTTTTAATTACATTTCCTTTCTCTTTTTGTACATGTGACCTGATAATTTGAATTATATGAAACATTAGGCTAACTACATATATCTTAGAGCTCTGCATTCTCAGAGAACAAGAATTATTAAACATGAGGAATCCCCCCAAAGACTCCATTATGTGTAATTAACAGATAAACTGTCATCAGAATCAATAAAACGTGCTAAATGATTCAAACTTGTATATAATTAAGAGTCTGTTTTAGAGCTAGAGCAGTAACTTTTCTTTTCCCCCCACATCTCACATTTCTCAAAAGAATAATTGTGACAACCCTGTTAACCCTTTCCTTTCTTGATTGAATTAGATTTTTAAATGAGTCACTTAAGGGCAAAGTTCACAAATGTGAAAGATATTTCAGAGCTCATTAATCTAAAGACTTCATTTGTTTTTCAGTAGAAGCAGACTGTGTAAGGATAATTAATGAACTGTTACCAGTATACTGAAAATCTTGAAAGGATAAGCAGTTTGTTGTGATTTCTGTGGAGTCTACACCTGAATGTAGTGTTAAATTCCGTGTATTTATACTGAGTTCTTAAAACCTCGGTCATTTCCTTTTTTTTTTTTTTTCTCTCCTTTTGGGAAATACAGGCTTTTTGAGGGCAAGATCATAATTTTAGACAATGTTTTTCCTCCATAGCACTTAGAATAATACTTTTAATAGATGACCTTTGATAATTGTTGAATGGGTGAAAAAATATGTGAATGAGATAATGAATAAAGTAACCAAGATTGCCATCTGTTAAAAGCAACTCTTCTCTGATCGCTCCATCTTAGGAGGAAAGAAAACCTGCACTTTAAAATAATGCCTTTTTTGGCAGTAATTTCTGTGTTTTAAATCCATATTAGAAATCATCTCCTGTAGGGAAATTTAGAAAAAAGTAGAGATTTTGGAAATGCTTCAGAGCAAATCACAGCTTACAGCCTCGGGAAGTTCAAGTATAGTATGTTAACTTCCCCCAAATCGGTTTTGGTTATTAGTGACCTGATTCCGTGTTTTGCTTTGTCGCCCAGACTCCATGCACATAGAGGATGGGGAGGCCGTCCAGAAACTTCAGGACGTCTTACACGAGGCGCTGCAGGATTACGAGGCCGGCCAGCACATGGAAGACCCGCGCCGGGCCGGCAAGATGCTGATGACGCTGCCGCTGCTGAGGCAGACCTCCACCAAGGCCGTGCAGCACTTCTACAACATCAAACTGGAAGGCAAAGTCCCCATGCACAAACTTTTTTTGGAAATGCTAGAGGCCAAGGTCTGACTAAAAGCTCCCTGGGCCTTCCTGTCCTGCACGCCGAAAAAGGGAAAATCAACCCCAGAGTGATGTCGAAGAAACATAGAGTTTAGTTACCAACATCAAAAATCAACGGACTGCGCTGATCATTTAGCAGCAAGACTGTGAAGCAGCTTTCAGATTCCTCCACATCTTCCTGATGAGTTTCTCTGGCCCTTTTCTCACCTGCCTTCTCTCCTAATTTTTTTTTTTTTTTTTCCTCTCCCTTATTTGTCCTCTCCCTCATTTCTCAGCTTCCTTCATTACCGGTTCCCTTTCTCCTTTATTTCCTTCCTTCCTTCTGTCCGGCCTCCCTCCTCCTCACCTCCTTCTCTTTTCCTGTCCTTCCCCTCTCTCCTAAATTGAAAATATCTCTAGTTGTAAGGAAATTGTCCTTCTCCGTTCCTCCCTCCCTCCCTCCCTCCGTCCCTCCCTCTCTCCCTCTCTTCCTCCCTTCCTTCCTTCCTTCTGCTGCTGAACTTTTAAAAGAGGTCTCTAATTGAAGAGAGAGAGAAAAGCCAGCCCTGCCAAAGGATGGAGATCCATAATATGGATACCAGTGAGCTTGTTGTGAACCATAACGTCCCCAATGACTAAGGAATCAAAGAGAGAGAACCATCGTACCTAAAAGTACAGTGCAACACGGACACATTGACTGAGTGCAGTATTAGGTTTCACGGGAGCAGCCGCTAATTAGACAACTTAAGCAACGTGGCATCGGCTGCTTCTTCTCATTGCTTTTCCATCTAGATCAGTTACAGCCATTTGATTCCTTAATTGTTTTTTCAAGTCTTCCAGGTATTTGTTAGTTTAGCTACTATGTAACTTTTTCAGGGAATAGTTTAAGCTTTATTCATTCATGCAATACTAAAGAGAAATAAGAATACTGCAATTTTGTGCTGGCTTTGAACAATTATGAACAATAATGAAGGACAAATGAATCCTGAAGGAAGATTTTTAAAAATGTTTTGTTTCTTCTTACAAATGGAGATTTTTTTGTACCAGCTTTACCACTTTTCAGCCATTTATTAATATGGGAATTTAACTTACTCAAGCAATAGTTGAAGGGAAGGTGCATATTATCACGGATGCAATTTATGTTGTGTGCCAGTCTGGTCCCAAGCATCAGTTTCTTACACGAGCTCCAGTTTCCCTAAATGTTCACTGACACAAAGGATTAGATTACACCTGCCGTGACTCCGGTGGTCACGTGTAGAAAGCACCGTACACGGAGTACAGATCCGTAGAATGATCAGGAGTGCACCTCTCTACCTGGGAGGTCCAGTTGCCATAGGATTTCTAGCTGCCGTGGTGGTTAGGAACGAGATACTGCCTGTTTGCAGAGTTACAGACCTTGTCTCGGAAGGAGCTGTGAGCCAGTATTCATTTAAGAGGCAATAAGGCAAATGCCAGAATTTGGGGAAAACAAAAAACAAAAAACAAAACCCAAAACCATCAAAGACAGCAGACGCCTGACCAAATTCTAAAACGTAATCTTTATGAGTTGATTCATTTAGGACTGTTTGTTTAAATTAAGCTGCAGTTTTTACCAAGAGCTAAGCCAATATGTGTGCTTTTTCAACCAGTATTGTCACAGCAAGAAAGTCAGTCAGGTTCCAGACTGTTAAGAGGTGTAATCTAATGAAGAAATCAATTAGATGCCCCCGAAATCTACAGTCGCTGAATAACCAATAAACAGTAACCTCCATCAAATGCTATACCAATGGACCAGTGTTAGTAGCTGCTCCCTGTACTATGTGAACAGTCTTATTCTATGTACACAGATGTAATTAAAATTGTAATCCTAACAAACAAAAGAGATGTAGTTCAGCTTTTCAATGTTTCATGTTTGCTGTGCTTTTCTGAATTTTATGTTGCATTCAAAGACTGTTGTCTTGTTCTTCTTGTGGTGTTTGGATTCTTGTGGTGTGTGCTTTTAGACACAGGGTAGAATTAGAGACAATATTGGATGTACAATTCCTCAGGAGACTACAGTAGTATATTCTATTCCTTACCAGTAATAAGGTTCTTCCTAATAATAATTAAGAGATTGAAACTCCAAACAAGTACTCATTATGAACAGAAACACATCAAAATCATAATAATATTTTCAAAACAAGGAATAATTTCTCTAATGGTTTATTATAGAATACCAATGTATAGCTTAGAAATAAAACTTTGAATATTTCAAGAATATAGATAAGTCTAATTTTTAAATGCTGTATATATGGCTTTCACTCAATCATCTCTCAGATGTTGTTATTAACTAGCTCTGTGTTGTTGCAAAACTTTTTGGTGCGGACACGTTTCCAAAACTATTGCTACTTTGTGTGCTTTAAACAAAATACCTTGGGTTGATGTTTCATCAGCCTCGTGCTAGGAATACTGTGTATCTATCATTAGCTATATGGGACTATATCGTAGATTGTGGTTTCTCAGTAGAGAAGTGGCTGTAGTGTGATTCTAGATAAATCATCATTAGCAATTCATTCAGATGGTCAATAACTTGAAATTTATAGCTGTGATAGGAGTTCAGAAATTGGCACATCCCTTTAAAAAAAAATAACAACAGAAAATACAACTCCTGGGAACAAAAGGTGCTGATTCTATAAGATTATTTATATATGTAAGTATTTAAAAAGATTATTTTCCAGAAAGTTTGTGCAGGGTTTAAGTTGCTACTATTCAACCACACTATATATAAGTAAAAATATATAACAATATATCCGTTGTTTTCACTGTATCACATTAAAGTACTTGGGCTTCAGAACTCAGAGCCAACCAACTGAAAACAAGAGATGGAGATGTGAGAAAAGAATCTAGTACAACTTTTAGTTTTCAGTTTAAGTGACTCTCGGCGTTACCGAGTACACGAATCTCACACATAGGAAACACGACTTAAAACGTAGATCTAAAAGAACTGCACGGGCTTTAGGGCAAAATGCTCATCTTAAACCTCGCTCGAGGTAAGTTTTTTCAAGTTTCAAGCAAGACCATTTACTTAATGTGAAGTTTTGGAAAGTTATAAAAGTGTATGTTTTCGCCATATGATTTAAATTTTTATTTTGCTTCTTTTAGGTTTGTTCTTATTTAAAGCAATAGGATTGTGTGACTACCTGTAGTTACACTTGTGTTTCAATCAGATCAGATTGTTGTATTTATTCCACTATTTTGCATTTAAATGATAACATAAAAGATATGAAATATTTAAAACTGCTATTTTTCTTATAGAAGAGAAAATGGGTGTTGGTGATTGTATTTTAATTATTTAAGCGTCTCTGTTTACCTGCCTAGGAAAACATTTTATGGCAGTCTTATGTGCAAAGATCGTAAAAGGACAAAAAATTTAAACTGCTTATCATAATCCAGGAGTTGCATTATAGCCAGTAGTAAAAAGAATAATAATAATAATAAAACCATGTCTATAGCTGTAGATGGGCTTCACATCTGTAAAGCAATCAATTGTATATTTTTGTGATGTGTACCATACTGTGTGCTCCAGCAAATGTCCATTTGTGTAAATGTATTTATTTTATATTGTATATATTGTTAAATGCAAAAAGGAGATATGATTCTGTAACTCCAATCAGTTCAGATGTGTAACTCAAATTATTATGCCTTTCAGGATGATGGTAGAGCAATATTAAACAAGCTTCCACTTTTGATTGCTCGTTCGTATCGTGTTTCTTTTTGTTCCCCCCACGAGAGAACCAAATCAATAAACACTGCCCTTTGTTGCTTCCATTCAAAGAGTGTACCTATTCCCTAAAAATAAAGTAGGAGTTTAAATAAGAGCTATATAAAGGCTTGTCAGAATGAATTCTAGGGTGCCACGAGACATTTTGCATATTTAAGAGTATGCAAAGTGTCTCGTGGCACATTGGAATTCATTCTGACAAGCCTTTATATAGCTCTTATTTAATCTGAAAGCATCTCCACATCATCCTGCATTACTCAAAATCATCGCCTCGATGTCAATGTCATAACAGAAAACTTTCCCCCTATTTTAAGATCATATTAAAACCTGCTAGAGATACCTATTATTTCCCTCCATCCACAATTAAATCATGGGCTTGCACGGAGCTCGACAGCGAGCCGCCGGCTTTGCGGAGCTGCCGGCCAGATTTCCTGAATGGGAAATCAGCAGCGGCGCTCCTAGATGGGTGTGCGTGAGGAGGGGGAGCTGTCTTCGAATCCACCAGGGTTAAGCAGCGCTGCTGACAGCAGATGGCCTGCCCTCGCTCTGCGTGCTCGGAGAGGTCACGGCCCTTGTTGCTCCGGGTCAAGCTGCGCTTCCACCGGACCCTCCTGGAACCATCACCGGGGTGCTAATACGTGCTTTCTGGGCTTCTCGGCCTATCTCGAGAGTGTCCTGTCCTTGTGTTTGCCCACCGTGGTTCTCACCTCTCCGAGGTGGCTGCTTCTCTAGCGCAAGCTGGTGACACTGAGGCCACTAAAAGCAATCCGATTTCGGGGCATGACATTGCCTAAATCACCACGCTGCCCTATAGCTCGCAGCATCACTCGGTCGTCTTTTCCTGCCTTCATGTCCTTCCAGTGGCCGTAGCTCAGCGTAGGATCCGAGGTGCTTTACCTTCCCTGTTTTCAAAGTCCTCGGGCGGAGCCCACACGATGCAGGGGACAGACCTCACAGGAGAAGGCCTGTCTGTCGTCTTCCAGTGAGGTCCTAGTTTAAAAAATACGTAAGTGATACGCAAACGCTTTTATGAACTTAAATGCCAGATCTCTCTTGCTGGTTTTTATAATTCCAAATTATGACAGAGTAAGTTTGCCGGTATTGACGTGTTTATTAGAGATGCGTCAGGTGTAAAGGAAACGAAAACAGGATTTTGACATTTTAACATGTTTATTTCTTGATACAGAAACAATGAATAGCTCCCGACAGATGGGTTATGTGTTTGTGTCAAGGGATCGATTTTATTTTCACCTGATGTTTATAAAGGACTTTTTGCTTTAAGCTAGTGGTTCCCAAACTAGGCCACAGATTAGAATCACCTGAAGAGGGTTCACGATTCCTGACAGTTGTATCCCATCCACCGAAGATCGGAGTTTAGTTGTGGCCTGGGCTTTTGAACAGTTCAAAAAATCATTTCCTGGGGCTCCTGTGTGGCTCAGTCAGTTGGGCATCCGACTTGAGCTCAGCTCAGATGTTGAGCGCAGGGTTGTGGGTTC